GATGCTGGTGGCCGCCTGTCGCCTTGGAACCGTGACCCTCGGCCAAAATTTCGAGCCTGAAGGGCGGTTATTTGCTGACTGTTAGCTTCTGCCAGGAGGTTTTGCTCCAGAGCGCGGGTGTTCCTTTCATTTAATTTCATATTCAAAACTTCCTTGCCAGCGCGCCTCCCAGCCGCTCTGCGCGGCGCGCCAGCTCGCGCAGGACGGACGCTTCGGGGGGCGCGTCTCGAAGAGCCACAGCTGCTCGCCCTGCTGCCGCAAGGTGGTCGACGCGCGCGACGGCGTCGTGGCCGTCGACGCGGAGACTCTCCAGGATTCAAGAAGAGAAGCACACACAGACACAACTAACCGTCGATTCCTAGGGGGACGCACGCAAACCCTGCCGCCGAGGCCTTCGGTGGAGCTCCCTATATGGGGCCGCGATCCTCGTGAGGGGTGTGCCGACCTGGGCGGGGGGACGCATGCAAACCCTGCCGCTGCGGCCTTCGGTGGAGCTTCCTATGGGGCCACGATCCTCATGAGGTGTGTGCCGAAGTGGGGGGGACGCATGCAAACCGTGCCGCTGGTGCCTTCGGTGGAGCTCCCTATGGGGCCACGATCCTCGTGAGGGGTGTGCCGAAATGGGCGGGGGGGACGCATGCAATCCCTGCTGCTGGAGCCTTCGGTGGAGCTCCCTATGGGGCCACGATCTTCGTGAGGGGTGCGCCGACATGGTGGACATGCCGCGAGCAGAAGCAGGAATGGAAGGAGGGAGGAGGGGGAAGGGGCAGCGGGAGGCGAGGTGAGGTGAGGTGAGACGCGGGGCGCTGTCTTTTCAAAACGAGGACCCAACACCACAGGATGGTTGGGGCAAATTCGGAAGTCCGCGCGAATTCCTCGGATCCGCGCTGGACCCCGTGGCGGCGCTTCCGGCGCCGCCCCTGGCGCGCTCTGCGCGCCAGGGAGGGGGTCTTGCGCGGATCCGAGCAGTCCGCGCGGACCTCTGAGTTTTCATGTTTATGTCATTATTCGTTCCTCTAGATGTGCGCCTTGGCCACGGACACAACTCCACGAGATTTTAGGATGTGCGAAGGTTCGGCGCCAGAACAGCTGTTAGCACGCACGGCCAAAAATGGCACGGGCTGAATTACACCCTGGAGTTTATTCTGGCACCAGTTGTGCACGCTTTGTTTCGGGGTGTCCAGCGCGCTTCTCATGACTGGTTTGTGAAGCATACAGTGGAGGCCCATGCCAAGAAACACCTTGCTTGCGTCCAGGGTGCCCGGGTTTCTTGGGTTTCGATGGTTTTGCTGTGGACGGCGCGATGCTCTGGCACCAAAAATCGATGGACGTCCTGGAGTCTCAGGGTTGGATTTCTTGTGGAGGATTTCTTGTGGTCGGGCCCGTTGTATTGAAACGAGAATGTGTCAAGCCACGGCTTTGCTCCTTATCTTCGAACTCGCCCTTTCTCACGGCGAGCTTCGGCCTGGCTGAATCGTCGATCGTTTGTTACACCGTTGCCGCTGTGTTCGGGTCGCACTCGTGAGGGGAAAAGACTTTGGAGTAATCCTTGGGGTGCACGGCGCCCTCGAGCCCACCAGCTGCCAACCAGTTTTTGCTGACAAGGTTGCAGCAATGAAATGAGCACTTCGTCCCTCCGCTGCCCTTGCACAACCAATTACTCTGAAGGGCTGACCCATCGTCCAACATGATGCCCAAGACAGCGTGCAGCCGAAACCCATTGACATCACCATAATCAGCGTGCACACCTACATGTTGCAAGTCGTGACCATGTGGGTCGAACATCCTGGGCCCGATCTGCACGATGTGCTGCGCCAGTCCAGCCTCGCACTCGGCGTTGGCAACCGATCTGGCGCAGCCAGCGCAGAGCCGGGCGTCTCCTCTGCGCAGAGCCGCTGGGCGCAGCCCAACGAAGGTCATGCACATGTTATGCGTGGCCCTCTCGTTCCACTGTTTGAGCTTGTTCCAAGGCTTAGCCTCATCACGTGAGCGTTTTTCTATTCTGCGTCTCGACATTGGGCGGAAGGGGAGGGGGAGTGGGGGAGGTCTGGTTCCAGACCTCTGCTTATTGCGACTGTTTGGGACCGTGCGTCCTATGGGGGAGACTTCACCTGCTCGAAACAGGCGCCAAAAACAGCCAAGGTCTACTCCACGACGGGGGGGGGTGCGAGGGCCCGCGCCGATCGGCAAAAAATGAATAACACCAATGTTCGCAATGTACATGATGATGTGCCATGGTGCGTCAAGTGAGCCACGCTCCTTCACGCGCGCATTTTGCAAGAAGTATCTCCTCCTGGCACACTTCCCCCGAGCGTGTAGGTACGGCACAGGATGAACGATCTCGATGTCCATGGCATTTCCCCTGAGCTGACTGGGGCATGCAGGGTGTCCTGGAGGGTATATACATATAACGGCGCACCTGGTCTGGGGGCCCGGGGCCGGGACCACGACCGCAAATGTGGGGACCGGGGGCTCTGGAGGCTCGTCGGGGCTTGCCGGAGGCCTCCCCGGTCAGACAAGACGGCCCCAGGAACGCCCAAGACGGCCCAAGAAACTTCCAAGAGGCCTCCAAGAGGGCTCCGAGATGCTGAAGATGGCCTCCAGACGTCCAAGGGCGCCCCCAAGAGGCCCCAAGAAGCCTCCAACATGCGTCCCAAGAGGGCCCCTAGACCAAAAAATTTGCCCATTCCCTTCGTAAAACGTACATGTTCAACAAAGTCGCCTTTTGGGCTTTCCGGCGTTACAGGACGGCCCAAGAGACGCCCAAGACCGCCCCAAGACGGCCCAAGAAGCTTCCAAGAGGGCCCCAGGACAGCCCAAGAGGGCCCCAAGACGGCCCAAGAGGCGCCCAAGATGGCCCAAGAGGGCCCCAAGACGGGCCCAAGAGGGGGCCCAGAGGGGGACCACGAACCGCAAGCTCGAGCCTTCCGCCCCAAGAGGCCGCCAGGAGGCCCCCAGGAGGCCCCTCAAGAGGCCCCAGGAGACCCCAGACGTCCAAGGACGCCCCCAAGAGGCCCCAAGAAGCCTCCAACATGCGTCCCAAGAGGGCCCCTAGACGCAAAAATTGGCCCATTCCCTTCGTAAAACGTACATTTTCAACAAAGTTGTCTTTTGGGCTTTCCGACGTTACAGGACGGCCCAAGAGGCGCCCAAGACCGCCCCAAGACGGCCCAAGAAGCTTCCAAGAGGGCCCCAGGACAGCCCAAGAGGGCCCCAAGACGGCCCAAGAGGCGCCCAAGATGGCCCAAGAGGGCCCCAAGACGGGCCCAAGAGGGGGCCCAGAGGGGGACCACGAACCGCAAGCTCGAGCCTTCCGCCCCAAGAGGCCGCCAGGAGGCCCCAAGGAGGCCCCTCAAGAGGCCCCAGGAGACCCCAGACGTCCAAAGTGCTCAGCCATGCCAATATGCTAAGAGCGCGCAACCTTGTTGATGTCAGGAAGCGCATGGCGTATCTTTGATATCCTGCGAAGTTCAGCTGGCCTCTCCATGTGATGCGTGCGGAGTGTGCGGGTGACGTGCTGGATGTCAGGACAATCGATACGCAATGTTACAGGCACTGTCTGTCGGCAACTAGAGATCCTGGCAGTGATTCAGACGTGAAGTAATTACATTATGACTTGCGGTCGCCATGAACCAACCTCCAATTTTGATTTACGAGTTGTGCGCCGACCCGATCAACGCAAAATCCAGCGGTATGAATTTCACGTCGGTTGAGCAGGAAACGCAGATGACTGTGAATAAGAATTTGCCAATTCAGCCAAGTGCCCGACCATACGAAACCGAGTGAAGTCCGCGATGTCCGACTAGCGGGCTCGGGGTTGCTGCAGCTTGGTAGCCTCACGTGACGCCCCATACAGCCCAAGAGCGCTAAGAACATGTCCCAATAAGGCTGGAAGAAGTCTCGAAGACGGCATGGGACAGCCCAAGAGGAGGGCCCAAGAATGCCTCAAGAGGCTGCAAGAAAGTCCCAAGAGGACCCCACAGCGGCCAGCTCCCTGCGCGCGAAGCGCTCGCATGGTTTTAGTATCATGCCATGCGGGCAGGTGTGGGGATCAATCTGCAACGTGCACGTCCGGGGTCGATGTGTGGCCCAGGGGTGACACTTGTGGCTCAAGGCACAGCAGGAGACACCGAGCCTGTCGCCCGCGCCCGGTCGCTGCCATGCCGGAGACGCTGGAGATCAGCAAGGAGGCGGTGTCGGGCAACGGCACGCTCGAGAACGTCGGGATCAAGCTGGATGGCAAGTTCAAGTGCCCGCACTGCAGACAGACCTTCTCGGACGACAAGGCCCTCCAGCTCCACCTGAAGTTCCAGTGCTCCACGGCCATCGCCAAGCAGATCAACCCGATCGGTGACTAGGCTCTGAGAGCGAATCCGGTGATCACGCTCTGACTGGTGATCGGTGACTCGGTTCCAGTGCCAATTTAAGCGTCTTAGGGCGGGGGGGGGAGCAGGAGGAGGAGGAGGAGGAGGAGGAGGAGGAGGAGGAGGAAACTTAGACATCCCTTGGCGAGAACAAGCAGAGTTGTCCGACTGCTGAAGTCGCTGGGCGGCATGCCCCTGTGTGGCTTCCACTGAGTTTTGACACTGGCACTGGGTGGAAGAATCACACGGGCCCCTCCTCAACTCTCAAGGCACGAGAAACTTTCGAGGAGGCGGCGGCCCATTCTTCTATCTGGAAGGGGGTGAGCGCAGCTGGATGCCGTATCCTGCAGCGGAGGGTCCCCACCGGCATCCCCTACTGCAGGACTCGACGCCACGGCGGCACCCACCCCCTCCCACGCTCCGAGGGACGCTTTTGCCTCCCCCTACCTCTTCCCTGCCCCTTAGGGCGCGGCTGAATTTTCGCGACAGGCACAACACGGCCCTGGGAATCCGTTGAAACCTCGGGCGTGAGAGACGAAGTATCTGAAACGAGGACCGTTTCACTATTGACGACTTCTCTTTGAATTAAATCCTCGAGCCTAGCGCTTGACGACAGCCTGTCCATCCTCCTCACCTCTACTGCTGGGAGCCTCCGTCGAGCTTGTTCAAGAACGCTCTGGCGTCCCTCTCCAAGACTCCTCTCGGCGCTGCTCCGATCGTGATCTCCGCTCCCTGACGAGTGAGCTCCCTGCGCAGCACGCCGTCCAGCTCCGCCGCTTTCTTGTTTGTCGTCGCCAGCGCCCACTGCGATCTCACCTTGCCCTCCATGCGCTTGCTCTTCTTCTTCTTCTTCTTCTTCTTCTTATTCTTCTTCTTCTCTTTGCCCTGCGGTACTCGCACTCGAAAGTACTTCACATCCGCTGCCATGTCCTGTAGTTCGTACTGCATGATGTGGTTCCGCCAGTAGTCCGTCAGAATCTCTCTCGCTTTTCCTTCCTCGGTACTCCCGAGGAGCGCTCGTACCGAATCTTTCCACACGTGTAGATGAGGGCTCCCCGGCTTCGCCGTGTCCACGCTCTCGTCATTGCTGTGCTCCCCGCGCAGCCTCATCGCTGCCGTGTGGCAGTCCTTGCCCGCCTCGAGCGCCGCCTCGATGCACGCGATCGTCGCCGGCACGAGAGCCGTCACGAAGACCACGCTGGCCCGAGGAAGAGGAGGAGGAGGAGGAGGAGGAGGAGGAGGAGGAGGAGGAGGAGGAGGAAGAGGAGGAAGAGGAGGAGGAGGAGGAGGAGGAGGAGGAGGCCATGCTGAGCACCAGCCTGCCGAGAGTGGTGACGAGCGCCTGCACGACCTGCGCCCTGCTGGCCTCCTCGCCTGCTCTGCCTGCCGCCCCTGCCACGGGGTCGTTCGCCTTCTGGGACTTGGGTTATGTCGGGCCTGTCCCCCTACAGGGGGATGTTCGACGAAAAATAAAAAATACCCCAGACGTAATCAACAAATAGTGCAACAATAGTCTGGGGACTATTTTTTGATATTCATTCGCATTTTTTTCTGGTATTGTTTGGGGTATTTTTTATTTCTCGTCGAATCCCCCTGTAGGGGGACACGCCCGACTTAAGACTTGGGCGGCTTCTCCCCTCGTATTGTGCTGCGCGACGCTCGCCTGTGGGTAGAGCCCACTTGGCCTCCGTGATGCCTGCCTCCTCCATCCACTCGGGCACGTCCGCGTCCTCTGCCGTAGCGGGGGTTCTTGCCCACCGTCGCGGGGGCACGAAAAGTTGGTGGACGTGGAAGATGCCGAACGAGATGCGGGCGGAGCTCGAGCCAAGATCTGGCTTTCAGTCGGGCGTGTCCCTCTAGAGGGGGAATCTTCAAACATAGTCAAACATAGTATGGGGACAACTTTTTCACTATTTGTGTTTTTGTTGGGTATGTTTGGAGTATTTTTTACTTTTCGCCTGAAATCCCCCTGGAGGGGGACATGTCCGACCACATGCCAGCTACATAATCACATCCTTGACAGTCGAGGGATCTGGGCTCTTGGGCTTCCACGAGGGCTCGGGCGAGAGCGGCGACACAGTGGCCACGCTGAGCTGAACGAGCTAGGGTGACGACGAGCTGTGACCGATGTTGCGAAAACCGCCTGACAGACGATGCACTGGTTCGTGGGGGTTGTAGAACGAGCGCGAATTGACGATATTATGTACCTGACGAGCATGAGCACGAAGAGCGCGTTTCGAGCATGATGTCCTCCCGCAGGTCCGCCCCTCCACCTCCACCTGGCACTTGAAGACCTCCTCCGCCTCGTGAATGAACGCCCTCCTTTGTCTCCAGGGGTTTGGGTGGGGCGCATGTTGGGGGCGGGATGTTATGCTTGAATTCTCGAGCTCTGAAGATGGTGGCATCGATTACGGTAGGTTCGCTTCGTGTCGACCAGCGGCGACCCGAGCGCGGGCGTTCAAGGTTGAACGCCGCCGGCGACCCAGAATCGATCGATGTTGAACGATCGGACGTTGCGGCAGCGGCCGATCGTTCAAGGTTGAACGATCCCAGCGGTGTCAAAAACCAACGCTGGGGTCGGCACGACACGAACCTGCCGTAAGCAGAACTGTGAGCGCCATTCTGGACGTTGCAGCTAAGCCACAACATGCGGACCAGCCTCCTCTTGCAGTGCCTGCGCACCCTCCGAGACGCGCACGAGCTGATCCACATCCTTTTGCACTCTCTTGGCGCAAGGGTTGGCTTTGCCTGAAATGCCATCGTCTTCACTAACCGTGCTAGTCAGCTGTCCGCTGATAGTTCCAAAAAGCGCCGCAACGAACTGAACGTTATTGTATCTGTCCTCCGCTGCCTGCTGGAGCCACCGAAGCCGTCGCACTCGTAGGTCCACCTCTGCCCGAGCTATCTTCCAGTGCGCTAGGATCTCTAAGTTCATGAGGTACTGAACCATCCTCTCTCCATGTGCAGGCCCTCTCCCTCATTGCAATTCACGCCAGAGAAGCCATCACACCATCGATAGTGTCGTACTGCCTCTTGGTGGGGAGGAAGGCCTCGCCAGCAGAGAGCTCTGCGTTGACCACTCGACCCATCAGTACAGTGCGCCTCCACCTCCATGGAATTGTCGCTGCACTCCAGAACGAACCCATTGAATAAGATGCTGCCTTGACCGCCTGCAATCTCTTTGTCAGCTGGATGCCGGATGTCTGTATGCTGTTAATGATTGGGCCGAGGTACTTGGCTTGATCCACGATCTGCCCGTCCCACTGCCGTCTGATGTGCCTCTGCCGCAAATCCTTTCTCGCGATACCGCTCCCCAGTCTGTGGATTGCCATGATGTTGACCTGCTTATTTCGGTTCTGCGCCAATCCTATCAGCTCGAGACAAGCATCCATGATGCCGTCGCTTTCCTTCAGCTTGCCCCTCAGCTTGTCAAGGTCGACGTTCTCCTTCAGAGTTGGTGGATGCTGCAGTCTGTTCTTGCTTATGCCGTCGGCGTACAAGTGCACACTGAGATCAGTCTGCTGCATCGTGATCGGGCACTTGACCACCAGCGTCGTATCTGAAACATCGTTGTTTTTCCATTGCTCTGTCCGCGGCTTGTGAGAAGGCTCGGAGGAAACAGTGTACAGTGCCGTTTTTAATGCATGCTCCGCGTGCGGATCATGTATTACACATGCAGGGATGTAGTATTAAAAACAAGGATGGGTTCGTGCATACATTTATTCATGAACTAATCATTTTTTATGAATCCCATTTTTTAAAAATCCAATGTATTAAAAACTGCCCTGCACCATACATGGGCCACCCCCATGAGGCCACCGTCCGGCGGCCGAAACTGCAGTGAACCTTCCGCAGCTCGAAGTCGAACCTGCGCGCGCCTTGTTCTCTGAAGTGTTGGTCGAAGATCCCTTGGGCGAGCGAGTTCAGCAGCCGCCTACAGTCAAAAACCCTAATAAGGACGCGCGACTTTGCTCAGGGCACCCTTGCGTCCTTGCTCGTCCTTGCTCTTGCGTCCTTGAGGTTTTCGTCGTCCGCCGCCCCCAAAGTCCCCAACTTCGGCTTCCAAGGGTCTTGCGTCCTTACCGCGCGTCCTTATTAGGGTTGTTGACTGTACTCCATGTAAGACCATCCAACTGGCGGGAAAGCGCTGGTCATGTCCTTACAGTTGCCGACGTGTGAGCATTGAGCTTGCCTGAGCCGAAACGCCGTCGCCATGGATGCCATTCTAGCTGTTTCTCGCCGCCGTCCTTCTGCATACCCACGACGTTCAGGGGGACGTGGGTCGGATCGCCGAGCTCCGATGCGGGTAGCGAACACGACCTTTTTCCCAAGGCAGGAGGACTTTGTAATAGCCTGCGTCCTTTAGCTCCTGGTTCCTCGTTCTTCTTTGCGGCGTAGCATTCGCTGATGTGCCACTCCTTCGGCGTGATCTGATGGTATCGAAGGTTTCAAAGGGCCATGTGGAGCGTGGCTTCGATATAGTTGTTGTCAGTGCCGTCAAGACTGAAGCCCACGCCCTTGTGAGTAGCGTCTCGAGCAGGGTGTAACATCATCCAGTCGAGCTCAGCAGGGGGAGATTGAGCCGCGCTCCATGTCTTCTGTGGCTCTTCAGGAAAGCATAAGTAGCATGATCATTGTTAAGTACAGGGTTTTGATCGTCAGCATCCTCAAGCATAGGATCCCAAGGTTCAGGTATATGGGGAAGCTCATCAGGAACTTCTTCGCATTCAAACTCATCACCTATATCTCGTGGGTGGTGCGTAATCTCAACTGCGCCCATTCTGCCTTGACGTCCAGGCTGCTTGAGCGCACTAATCCACTCGGTCTCCGTCGGATGTGCCAGGGGTAGAGCTCGAAGATCGCTGCGCTTTGTCCCCGCCTTCGAATTGCCGAATCTGAATGTAGCTCTGTATTTTGCTGCCCCAATGCTCCTGGCTCTCTTGTGCAATTGCCCCCCGCGTCTGCTGCCGAGCCCATGTGCCAACTTAGCCACACTCCCTCGAACACATTATGAGCTGAACCTCAACCTCGTGTTTCGTAGCCTTCTGTTGCCCACGTGGCACGGCGCTGCCGAAGAACTGCTAACTTTGCCTGTCGAAGTTGCCGACAGTCATCGTCCACATGTTGAGGCTCCGGGAAGAACTCTTTGCCAACCTCCACCATTGCCTTCTCAAGATACAGTCGGGGCGTTGACCTAAGGAACCCTAAATAAGGAACGAGGCCCCTTTTTTCCTTAAGTTGAACTTCGATTTCCCCTCGAAAACAGAAGGGCAACCTGAGGCAAGCTGTGAAACATTCAAGGAACACCGAGCCCCTCCCCAACGAAAAGGGTTCCTTCTTCAGCGCCCCGACTGTAAGAGAAATGCGCATCAGGGGTGGACTGCAGACCACGTGCCACCCATTATGTCACATGCTGCTGCAAAGAGGAGGTAAGCTTCACTGAGCAGTCGTGTGTGCGATCTCCATGTCTCAGGGCGTGTGCCAAAGCATCTCGATTCCACTTCTCCCTGCTTATGTCCTCGTTCTGGTCGTCACATGTTGCGAGTCGGTCATGCAGCAGTTTTGCATGTACTGGCACGTGGTCACGTAGCTCTCGATCTGGAATGTACTGCAGTCGTCTGCCACATCTAAGTATATGAGCGGATTGCGTGCACGCATCTTTCCAAGCCGCTGGACCAAACATGTAATCTAAGCGCGAGGTCTCGCCTGAGTGTCCAAACCAAGTAGGCACAATAATGTCGTTTAGAAGCTGCGAAATGATGCCGAATGAGTACTTCTCTTGTCTGCTCGCCAGCTCCTTTGGTGAACCCCTTCGTCGCATGCGCCTCGCTGATGACCCCCTCGCCCACGTAGGCCTTGTCTTTTTGTGAACCGATGCCGATACCGTCGTTGAGGTCAGTGAAGATGAGCGGCAGGGACGTGTGCGGGGTGTGTAACAGCACTTGGTCTAGCCACTGTGTCGTTATCGTGCAGGTCTCTCGATAATGTGCTCCTGCTTTGGCCGACCTTGGTTTCGGTGGAACATACATCGCAATCGCAGTAATGTCCATGAATACATTTTTACATCGAGCCGCTAAGTTTCGGCATTGTAGTGGGACAGGGGTGGCATGTATCCGTCGACGATGAGATCTGCTCACCCTGCGCCCCCAGAGAAGCCTGCACCGAGCCGATTTATTAGTGTAAACTCCAGAGCCCCAGCTATATTCA